TTGCAGGCTTGACTATTGGATCGGCGATAACTCAACTTTTAGTTCTCTCACTGGTTTCTCTGTTGCTTTACGACGCACGCCATTACGAGAGGAGAAGCAGCGAATTGTCGGGAACGGTTAAACAACTGACAGTTGAGCGAGACCAGCTGGAGTTCGAGCTGCGAACGATCCGAGAACAGAATGATGAATACAAAAAGCAGATTAGCCACATGGAGCAAGCGCTTGAAAAGGTGCGATAATAAATGAATGGACGCCCATTTTTGGAATTGAGAATTATTTCTGAATTCCAGTCGATGGACACCTGCCATAAATAGACAATTAGTGATGTTCCCAGCCAAAAAGTCTGCATACGAACCAAGCGGCCCCTCAGGCCGGCACTTAACTGCGGTTTCAGTAGCATGAAGCAACTAGGAGTATTTGTACTACCCCCTGGATGGCATGCTAGTCCATCTCAGGGCTACCCCCAGAATTAAATTCGCCGGGACCGATTTATACACGTGAGAATAAAGTGTCTTGCCCAAGAACACAACACAACAAAATATCCCCTGCCAGGGCTCCAACCCAGAGCGCTCAATCCAGAGTGGAGCGTACTAACCATGAGGCCACCGCCCCTCCCACGGTGCCAGCCACATAGAACAATAGATACAGTGAAACCTGTATTAAGCGGACCCCATATTAAGCGGACAACCTCTATTAAGTGGACACCAGCTAGAGTCCCAAACTTTTCTTCCTATATTTACTGTAAAATAAACCTGCATTCAGCGGACACCTCTGTTAAGCGGACGCGGACACTAATATGAAGCCATTTTGTTGCCCAAAACCTGCAATAAGCGGACACTTCAAGGGCTTTGTACTTCTCAAAGCTCAGCTCAGACTCCTTTAACATTGTTCAGCGATGTTTTTAAGGCTAAATAGATTATTCCAGATTGATGCATTGACTGGCTGGACATTGTGCTATGAGCAGTCTTTGATCTTACATTGTCTTACACTGAGTTACAAAAGGGTTAATAATTAATTATTATTGCACAATTTATTAGAACCTGCTTAGAGGGGACACCCTGTATTAAGCGGACACTAGTGAGGGTCCCAAGGGTGTCCGCTTAATACAGGTTTCACTGTATATTTAACATGCCATAAGCGAACACTTTCTAGTACTAAAAGAGTTCGGTCTCACTGTCTTCTGCCTTTTAAACAGGTGGATAATGAGTAATGGCAAGAGACCATGATCTAAGAGAACACATCCCCCATACTTGGGCCTCTTCCAATGATAATCTTTTTCAATCTAATTTTAGCGCTTGGTCAAACTGCGAGGCTATCTTAGGAAAGACACCCGATTGGCCAATTCAATTGACGTAATAACACTGAAGGTTTAAATTTAACATGCAAAAACTTGCACCTGGATCT